AAATTAGACGAATACGTTTTGTTGTAAACCATTTGTTGGTTGCTATAATACTAGGCACTCACGCACTATCGTCTTTATGTTAACCATCACCGATTTTCCGTATCTACATTTATACCCACATAGTATAATTTTCTGCGATACTACCTCAAAACACTCCTCCTCGCCTTCTCGATATTATTTCGTCCCATTTTTCTTTGCTCCCGCAGGAAATGTTCGTGTGTCCCGAGAACTGCCAGGCCATACTGGCTATCTGTCGTGTTGTCGCTTTCTTGACGACACTCAAATCGTCACCTCATCTGGGGACATGACCTGCGCGCTGTGGGACATTGAGACAGGTCAGCAATGTACGTCATTTACCGGTCATACAGGCGATGTCATGTCTCTTTCGCTCGCCCCCGACATGCGCTCATTCGTGTCGGGTGCATGCGATGCATCCGCGAAGCTTTGGGATATTCGTGACGGCCTCTGCAAGCAAACCTTCCCTGGCCACGAATCGGACATCAACGCCGTGACTTTCTTTCCTAATGGGTTTGCCTTTGCGACGGGTTCCGATGACGCCACATGTCGCTTGTTTGACTTGCGCGCTGACCAAGAATTAGCACTTTACTCCCACGATAACATTATATGCGGTATCACATCAGTAGCATTCTCCCGGTCCGGTAGACTGCTCCTGGCCGGATACGACGATTTCAATTGCAACGTCTGGGACTCGATGAAAGCGGAACGTGCCGGTACGTAGTAAATCCAAGTGATTTACTTTCGTATCCATTTGTTTTATTACGTTGTTGTCAAATAAACGAAAATTGCCTCGCCGTTAATTCGAGGATTTGAAAGTATGGGACGGCCATGCTGAGCACAAGAAGTTCTCTTGGAATGAGATGTATGCATGTTATTAGGCTTTAGTGGCATGTACTGGCACTTTGTGTGTTCGAATGAATTGGAAAAACAAGTTGGCGTAAAAAGTGTCGTTTTATCTAAACCCCTTTGAAGCTTCAAATCTCAAGAAGGTCAGACCTTAGGTTTTTTTTTCGATAAGTAATAATTTATACACAAAGGGCTCACTACTAAATCTAATCTAACTTATAGGATAAATTCATTTTATTAAGGATCAAGTATATTTTATTGGTAGATATCCCTAAATAAGCTGATAAAAGTAACTTATCTATTTGCGATATACGGTATACGGGAAAGTACTGAATATCATCTTACCCACAGAATATCCTCGTAGAAACTTCCAGATACGTCCTTAGGTTCTTCCTGCTGTTTCTTCTATGATGGCTAAATGTAGACCGTGTATTACATTTAATACGAATTTAACTTTTTTTGACTCCTCTATTTCTCAGGGGTGCTTGCTGGTCATGATAACCGTGTATCCTGTTTGGGGGTCACGGAGGATGGGATGGCAGTCGCCACTGGCTCCTGGGATTCCTTCCTCAAGATTTGGAACTAAAGAACAATAACCAACTTGGGAAGTGGCCAAGGAGAAATCACGAAGCTACAACAACAATAAGAGCAGCGACAACAGGAAAAATAATCACAACTATAAATATACAGACATGGCGACATCGAAAGAATACACAGTCAGCATTAATATTACTATTATCTCATCCATATTAGTTTGTAGTCTAGTCGCAAACATGCCAGGCGGATCTCCCGAGCAGAAGATATACTTTTCACCCAGTCTTGATTTCCGTTACGTAATGATAATAGTAATAGCATCAAGACTTACCGATTATTCGACACGTGAATCCTTCCTCGTTTATTTGGTAAACAGACAATACAGAAGCAATCAGATGTTTGTTTTTGTCAGACTTCTGAGAGCCGCGCTAGAGTGTTCGCAATATATTGGCACGAAGACATTGAGAGTAAACATGCGGAAGGGGAGAATGAAAGTTTGCCGAGTGGAGTGTGATTTACGTGGCATCTGGATAACAAACAAATAGAATATGTCTGAGCTATGTGAGAGACAGGTCAGGAGAGAATGAGCTGTGGAAAAAGCTGAATGAAAGCTAACAAAAGCGCCAGAGAAAAAATAAACGAAGTGAATATCCAGTATGGAACCAGAGCAAGAAAAACTACAGATCGAAAGAGTCAAAAAGGCTACGATGAGAATGTTTGCAAAAAAAAAAGCGCGACGCTAGGGCATCTTCATTATGATGATGAAAGTGATGATGATTATAGTTATTATAATTATGAATTACTCTAATTGATAATATGATGGTGACACAGCAACAAAGCATAAACATGGAATGTGCAATTATATAGTAGTTGGACTCTACTGTACGCCCGGTGAAGGCCGGCAGGCGCCGCGCGGCGGGTGCACTGCACTAGTCTGCAGATGGGTCCAATGTCGCGCTGGTGGTTGTAGTCGTTTCCTTCAAAGAAAAATCGCACAGCCTCATATTATGCACAAATACAAACATGAACGTACCAGCCCTTGTCTAGTACAGAGCTGCAACTGTTACAACTGTTGTCGATTCATTTCACCGAAGTGTAACAACAACAAGACGATCCTGAAAGCAATGAGATACAGAACTAAAATCAGCGACTGTCCTTAAACAATACTGATCCCATCAGAGAATATATCTCATGCCACTACTTCTTTGAGGCTATTGTGTGGTTGAACCGGCGAAACATTATCGAGTTAATCGTCAGTAGTATCATGAGCGTCATTCAACGACTGAACTGTTTAACAGAGTAAAGAATCAACGATTTTTAGTAACGGTCTACATATTCCGAATTAACTCCTGTTTCAATGCCAGGCCCTGTTTTAACAACTCGTGCTTTGCCGATTAAGCCGCAGTCTCTAGGCTCTAAGTATTATCGCCAAGCTCTTTCTTATAGCGGTAAAAAAGCAAGACTCTTATTTGTTCATACTAATTAGGTCACAGTTTCATTCTTGGATCGCTACCATCAACCGATGTCTGGCAAGTGTCAAGAGTGCTTGCCTTCGTCGGGACGTATCATTGGGTCCCGGGTATACATTCTGGGTACGAAACGTGCAAGCTCTTGCTTCCCGAGCCGATCCCGAACCTTACGTCGTCACCGAGCATGTGTTAACGATGTCTGGAAAACAGGCACAACAAAACCAACTAGGCGGTTGGGTTATTAGCTATTAATATAAAGAGCTATAGCTGAAAAAAATGACCTTCGACGCGATATTATATAATAAGTATAAAGATACATACGCATTATATGTAACGTTTTTCTTGCTTTCATGGTTTGTTATTGCACGAGCCGTGTTTCTTATCCTAGTAAATACATCTGAAAAGGCGAAAATGAATTACGTACGTCTGAGACAGAAAATTGCTACATAAACATTATATGCTATATCGATGTAACAGCAACGGCAACAACTTTCTAAGATATGTGAAAATATTTTCTGTTAAATAAATACAAACGCCCATTCACCCGCATATGGCAGATAGAGCATTATTACCTAACGACCGTTTGGCTCCTCCTCTTAAAACTTCATTCCTACTTTTACGTGGGACGTATTTTATTTGTCTATCTCTGGCTGCAATAAAGATATTTCCTGTAAAGGCCAAGCGTAAAAAGGCGAGAAAGCACCTTCACCGTTGTTAACGGACAGCGCTGTTGCTGTTCTCGACTAATTTTTTGGTGACTTCGAGGTCCCTACGCTGGCTTTTTTGGTAGCTCCTGTCTAATGCGAACGGTGTCCGTTGTTAAAATCAACGCGCTGTTTATTACCTTGGTCACCAGGGCTGTTTCGCGAAATTATTATTTCACAATTAACATGGGCCTTAGTAATTAGTTCGAGGGGGTTCTAAACAACTTCAAGCTGCGATTACCGCTGACTTCTGCTCCGCCTGGCTTTTCTTCGACCCGAACGTCGCTACTGGGAGACTTTGTCGACGACAAAAGCACCAACAACCATTATGATTATTATTATCGATATTATAATTCTAATAATAATAATAACAAGAATGCCCATGCTGACACATTTAATGATTCAGCAAATTATTCGTACAGATTATATATCATCATCACTATTACTTCATAATTAATTATTATCGTGACTCATAAGGTTCTAATTATTGCAATTCTTCCTGTTGTTATAATCATTGCCGGATTGAATCAACATAGCAAAGGCGATAGGAGCGACTACGCTTAAACAGCCGCAGGACGATACAACAAGAAAGCATCAATGGCAGCAGCAGCAGCAGCGACACATTAAAATATTACATTTTACAAGCTACACTTTTGGCGATTCGAGCCTTGTAGACGTACAGTAACAAATAGCCATGCGTTACCATTTCCAATGACTTTCAAATGGACAATGAGAACCACTCGAAAAAAGAAAAGGCTCATATTGCCAACATCTGATTTTTTTGTAGTCGAGCCACTTACTGATTTCGGCCTGTATGCTATTTACGATCACTCAAAAGTTTTCGACACAACGATATGTATTAGAGAAATAATGAAAAATCGGTGACGGCGACTTTGCGTCCCCAGAGTCGCCCCTCGTCGACATCCATATGTTCAGTATTGCAATTCTAATTCCAATGATCAGTTAATTTCGTAATGAAATTATATCACGTTATAATGGTATACTATAAATAACTAAGGATAAATGCCAAGCGACGGAGATCCAAAATCCTGTTACATACTGTTTCTACTGATTTAATAATATTTATTTCTTCTATAGACTATTCTTTCCAGATACATAATTCACTGCACATCAAGATGTGCAAGAATATCATAATTCCGTTGTGACGACTTCCTTGCCGGCAAGACGCAAGACCAACGCCGTCAGGCCCTTGAAAAGGTCCTAGAATTATGTTAAGGGGACAATATAAAGATGAAGAACGCTTATTAAAGAAAGAGTATCCGGTATGGATGAAGCTCAAGCATATCAGGAGAAGAGCAGTTGAACTTAGATATATAGGGTGGCTACAGAAGAGGACTGAAATTTTAGCTCAGCACTCACGCCATGCCACGTAATAATATTTGGGTATTTTAAAATTTTCAATACAAAAAGCGAGAGCGTGGAGAATATATATAAACCTAGAAATAAAACAAAAAGAGTTGGAGCTATTTTTAGGAGAGGGAAAAGCAATTCGGGGAAATGGCTAAGAAATGCGCGAAAGCAGCGATGAGAGAAAAAACTCTATATAGACGGGATCAGAGCATGCGTGGCTCACTGGGATAGAGACTGAGGCAAAAAAAAATGTAATATGTATGAAAGAAAAACAAGTAAGCTATTTCGAAAACGTAATAGTTATCTGCTTAGGATGTTTACGAGAGTGTGTCTGCGCGTCTGTATGAGAGAGCAAGCAGCCGGACATATGAAGTGTGTGATTAACTATGGCTGGCTGTACTGATTGGTGAATCAATATTGCACTGTTATTACCACTAACGAAAAGGCTGATCCTAAAAAGATGACGCGAGTTATAATATATCGTAATATAAGTAATAACTAGGGTTGCGGCAAAGACCATAATCGAGAAATCTTCCAATTGGACTGCCTCTTATAAGTGATTATTTTCTGAGCAGACAGCGATTAGCGTAATCCGCTCATGGTCAAATTGACAAAATGCAGACTGCGGACTAGAGAAATACGACGAGGTGAGAAATTCGAAGGAAGCGCGGAATATAAGGCTGTTGAAGTAAGATGGAGAAACTTTGCACAAGAAGGGGGCCATGGCTGCAGAAACATGGCGCACATAGACACACATAGCGAACAATGTAAATACAAACACAAAAAAGGGGACAGACAATAACAAACAAGTAGACAACCTATAGCTGACGATATGGACCAGGAAAATAAGGCTGCTGCTGTATAAAGCGCTCGTTCAGTAACAGCAGATTCATTCAGGGTCAGCAGGATGCCTGCTATAGTGACGTCTCGCTTATGTTGCTGCTGCTCCACCCTTTTAGCAAACTACACAAGCTACAGCACATAAAAACAACATGAACAGTAATATTTCAACAATACCATACAAACAGCGCACTCCCAACAATCTATAACCTGTGATTGGCTTATTCAAATAAACGGGATCGTTAAAATATTCGTTATTGGTACTATACACATCCGCAACAACCCTATGGAGCGCGAAAAACTAACGTACAGATATACCTGCAGACAGCTGAAAAACAAACAAGCAGGTGATTACACCGCAGAAAACGCAAAATAGAACATACAATTATTATCATT